CTCCAGTGCGGTGACAGGAAAAGTGAACCGAAGTTGTGAGAGTAGGAACCCTGTAGGAAAGCTCGTTCTTTAACAAAAGCCGGAATCCCTCTTCGCGGAAGCCCCCGTGAACGCTTAAATCCTACTTACGAAAACCCAAAACTTTCCCCATGAAAACCCGAAATCATCCCCAAAACTAAAGCCAGATCCCCCATTAAAGCCCGACCCGGGAGCCGGGCCCGGGCAACCTAGGTCCGGGTCCTGGAAATCCCGGGCCCGGGGACTGCCAACAGCAACAGCAACAACAACGCCAACCCGGTCCCAAAACCTGGAACCCGGAACCGGGACCGGGACCCGGGACCCGGGACCTGCACAGAACGCGGACGCACCCCGACCCGCAACCCGCAACCCGGGCCGGGACGAGCCCGGGGTGTCTACGATATCCCCCGAGAACCAAAGCTAGCGTCCTTCCCGCGAAAGCACAAAATCTTCCCAACGAAAGTCGGATCCCTCCCCGCGAAAGCTCGAATCGTTGCGAAAACCAAGTATTTGCACGAAAGCCCAAACTCCTCCCACAAAAACTTGAAGTCATCCCCACGACACCACGAAAGCGTACAATCCTTCCCACGAAAGCCCAAATCCGTTCCCACGAAAGCGCGAAATCCTCCTCACGAAAGCCCCAANNCCCCCCCCCCCCCCCGAACGCCCAAAACTCCTCCACACGAAAGGCCCAATCTGTCCCCACGAAAGCCCAAAATCCAACGAAAGCCCGGACCCTTCCCCACGACAGCCCGAAATCCTCGCCACGCAAGCCCGAATCGCCACGAAAGCCTAAGTTCTCCTCATGACAGGCCCAACCGGCAGGCTTCCGTTCACACAAACATGATAATCGAAGAAATTTGCTTGGCTGGTGCTGGCTGATTACGGGTTGAAGTACATGGATTTGAATTTCAATCAACGTTGCTTCTGATAGTGGCAACCGCAAAATAATGGGCTCGCGCACAAGGGCGCGGCCCGTAAACATGTACGGTTTGGGGGTGTAGGGGCAAGCGGTTTAGGGTGTGCTTCCCAATCTTCCAAAAAAGCCCTATACACCCTCACCAAAACCCGATTGAAAATACTGGACCTGCTGTCCCATTAATTTTCACCAAAGTGGATGATTCCACTCATGGCAGAAGAGACCATTCTGAATCAGGCCCTTTTGTTCCAAATCAACAGCGTGCCTGGGATTTTACAGCTTAGAGTTCAGGAATATTTTCTAAAACTCTGACAATTATGCGTGCAACATGCCACTCAGATGATCACTGGAAAAAGATAATGGTCACCCAAGATTTTTTTTGGACTTTCATTTCTGCGCAAAAATTTAATTTGCTGAAGCGTCACCAACAGCAAGCAAAAAACATACGTATCGAACATGCTTGTTTATTAACTGCTTGTTGGAGGATGAAGTTCAATCATCTTGTGTTCGATGCTGCATGGTGTTGCAAACATGCATGGAAACGTTGTCGTTGGAACTTGGACTTGATTTGTCGCAGCATTTGCAACTTCAATATGCGCTGAGAACAATGTGTCCATGTGGCAATATGCATTATTTCGAGACATTGGAGCTGGCAAACCTTGGCAAATTAAAGTCCGTTAAAGTCTAGATACATGGTCATTGTTCGATATGAGGTATATACACATGTGCTTCGGCTGCTTTCGCCAGACATGTCTCCGGCAACTCCGTTGTGTGTGAAAGAGATCGGTTCATTGGAGACCAGTTCGGTCTCTGCAGGCAACCGTGTCTCGGCAGATGGAGTGTTAATAGTTGTGGTTCCAGGCCACACCTACATTCCTCCATCCAGCTTGGAGGACTTATGTGATCAGTTGCAACTGTTGTTGCCAGAAGATATGGTTTGGGTACCCAACATGAGCAAGATGCCTGACGGAGTTCAGGCAACTTTGAAGGAGGATGATCTTGATTTCGCGGCTTTACAATTGGCACAAGAGGTATCAGCCAAGCTGGATGCAATTGAAAAAGAGATCGGAAAATCATTTTCACTCAGTTTCTGGTGCTTGGGGACTGGTGGCCTAATTGCAAGAGCAGCCCTGGCATGGCTTACATCCCGTCATGAGAAGTTGCTGACGTTTATCTCTTTGGGTACGCCGCATCTCGGCCTCTTTCTGCCCGGATTATCCTGGTGGTACTGGTGGCGAGTGGCCGTTTGGAGGTCATGTTCTTCGAGCCCACTTTGGCTGGAACAGGTCATGCACATGGAGGGCAGACGTGCCCGTGGATCTCGGTTGCATCGTCTCTGCCAATCTGGCAACTTCCTTCATTGCTTCAAGACTTTGGTGTTCATTGGCAGTGGAACAGATTCCCTAGTGCCCCTGTCATCATCTGCGCTTCACGTTTCCGGTTGTGATGTGAGCAAGGCTACTGAAGCACCTCGTCCAGACTTGTCTCAACCTATACCCTCCTCAAGGATTCTGTTATTCTTCTTCCCAATTCTGTGGTTGGCGCGCCTGCGAGCCTGGAGCTCGCTTCTTGTGGTATTGATTGGAATTCTGCTTGCTTTGTTGCTTCCGTCTCCGCCAGGAAATCTTGGCCGCAGGTTGAGAACTGTGAAGATGCAGTTACACGACTTCTTGAAGACAGTTCGTGGGGAGGTTGACCCGGAACTGGACCGACACTTCGCGCAGTTGCTTGTGTCATCTGTGGCCGAGAAGCTGGTGAAAGTGGAGGTGTGGCCTGAGAAGAGCCGCTGGAGCTGGTGGTTGGGACAGGGCTTCGGTTCTCATCTGCTCTCTGAGCATGAGTGGATCAAGACTCTGGTTCAGCGCTATGGACCTTCGTTGACGACCCATCGCAAAAAGCCCCACTCCTTTACTTGCAGGATGTAAGCTGTCCTGGCGATCCATCACTTCAGTTTCCTGCGGCTGCCCGGAGACATCAGTTCAACAACCAACAGCCAGCCCCCAAGCCCAGAGCAGCAGCCTCAAACCACTTATTCGATAATCTCGAGTTCCATATAGCTAAGCTCCAAACGGTATTGGTAGGGTTGGGGGTTTGGCAGGGTGACCACGGAAGACGGCAGATCTGAAAGGTGAACTTATTCGGCAAGCAGTGCTGCGTGGGATGTGTGACATTTTTTCTTGGCGACTGCTCAAGCGTAGCAGCACTCGGCTTCGAGAGAGGAAGCAAGGCCGGTCACCAGGTCGCGGCCCTGTCATGGCGAGCACCCCGAAGCAAAAGTTTCGGCCGTCGCTGGGTGAGCCGGGGCCTCAACAAGTTCAGAGAACTGCAGAGATGGCATGCTCTTGGCAAAGTGAAGGCCATCGCGCGTCAGCCGACTCCGGGCACAATCTCCTGGTGCCTCTTCGGTTCAGAGCCCGAGTTGCCCAAGTGCAAGTCAGCTGAGAACCTCAAGAAATCCAGATGAATCTGCAAGGTGGGTTCGGGTGAGGACATTGGTACTTCACCTCGCAGGCACGATGCTTCAGCCTTTGGCGTCGCCTGGAGATCTTCTCTTGGTGTTTTGCTGGAAGGCGTGCGCTGTTCCCGAGCGGTGCAGGCCCATGCGCGAATTCGTCGGAGATTTGCAAAGACTCGTGGACCGGTTTGTCAGGGCGCACCCGTGCACTCGTGAGCTCAAGGCCGGGTTCCAAGAGTCGAGCGGTCCATGACACGTGCACTGTCAAGGCACTCTCGCGACCCAAGACCAGTCGGAGACAGAGCCTTCACTGCGCAATGCGCCAAGAACGTGGTGGAACTCCTCTCTGCAAGGGGCCGAGTGTCGACCGACTTTCTGCCTGCAACTGTGTTCCGTTTTTGTAGTCAAGGCTCGGGGATATTCCAAGACGTTCTCACACGACAAGCTCCTCAAGGCCTAGACGTCACTCTTACGACTCAAAACGCCGTCCGAGCTCCTGGCAGGATCCTTCCACGAAAGAGTTCTACGACGTCTTTCGCTTCTTGATTGCCCAGTTGGACCCTGTGTGCTTGCAGCGGTGACTTCGACAACAGAGGACTCGCCTCTGTGTTCTGTTCCAGGACCCACAGTTGGAAGTCGAAGGCAAGATGGAAGATGAAGTGGGTGACTGACAGCACACAGCATGCAGCAAGCGTGGCGCGGCTGACAACAACTCATTCACAGTCGGGTTCCGGAAAATGCCGAGGTGCCCAGCATCATGCGACGGTTGAAGTATCCGGTGGAAGTGAATCGATCCAAGCTTCAGGCAAGCTGACAAGAATATGGTTTGGCTTGACCAACGTGTCTGCTGTCGAGGCCATCAGCGGCCCGAATACTTGGCCGTCCCAGCCTTAGAATTCAGACATTGCCCACTTTGCGCTCGCCCATGCCTAACAGGCAACTGCTCGCGGTCTTGGACTGGCTCACAGTCCTTGCAAGGCGCTTAAAGACTTTAGGATCCAAGGCAGACCGGTGCTCAATTTCCCGAGTTGGCGTGCTGTTGCGAAGAAGCAGGTTCGCATCAGCGACGAGCTGATTGAGCCGTTGGCAGCTTGCCAACTTGGGCTTTCAGCCGGCTGCCTGCACATAGTGCTTGCCAACTTTTGGCAAGGAATCCTTGTTTGTGCAACAGGATGTGGGAGACCCTGACCGGGATGCAGGTAATCCTGCCAAGTTTCCTTTCAGAGCTTGCTTTGTGCTGGGTGCCTGCTGCGATGCATGCCCATGACTGTAAGCTGTAATCTAAGAACATGGTTCCGAAGAGTTTTGCTCTGACCGTCCCTTTGTGTCCTGCATTTCGTTCTGCCTTCCCTCGTTTTGATTCGAGCTTGTGAGGGCCGATGAGGCCTGCGCGTGCCGGTGCCAGGAGATCATCACGTTCTGAGATCCTTACATGAGAACTACTTGAACTTCTTGAGTGGGAAAGACGACAGTGGTGACGAAGAGAGGCGACGCGATGTTCTCGTCTTGTTAGTCTCAGAGGGCAGATTGCAGCTTGTGCAGGCTGCGGATGATCTACATGCAGCGCCTGGAAGCCCTGCAGGCAGAAATCCAACGGTTGGAGAACCAGCAGGTGGAAATGCAGCAGCGGCCAGTGGCCTAGGTTGATACGGGGAGGAAGTGGCATGTGGACAGATCCGCCTTGACACTCAGGTTGCAAGATTTCCAGGGAGAGCATGACAGGTTGCTAGAACTCCAGAAGATGCCTGCTCAGCAGAAGCCCAAGTGCATTCTTGAATCCTCGATCCGAAACCTGGCGTGCTACGGCTGTATACTCTCTTCTCTATCCTGGACGAGGCTTGAAGTGGAAGCCGATCGCTTGCGCAGCATCATCCAGGCCGAAGAATTTGGAGAGGGAGAGGTGGGGAGAGGTGGATGAGCATGACAGTTTGAAATGAGAGAGTGACATGCAGGCAGACAGCGTATTTCACCCCCCCCCCCCTCGTTTCACCTGATGGTGTGCCTGCTGCTCGAGGCACTCGGGCAATTTCCCCCATGTCAATGTCAGCGAGAAGAAGAAAAGGGATGGGTGTTATCTCATGAACCGTGCGCCAGATATATGCACTTGCAGGCGCAAGAGCACAAGGTGCAGACCATCGAGGACGAAATGGTGTGCAAGGAGGTGCGATCCGGCAGCACTCGGCTCTGCTCAGACTTTCGGATGCAGCGCGAAGGCCGAGGAGCGCGAGCAGCAGAAGGAGATTGAGACATTGCAGGCCTGGGGCAGGTTTGGTCAGCTTCAACGGACTTCGAGCTTAGGAGCTTGAGAGGATCCTAGTGCCAAGGAGGTGACATTTGCGTTTGGATGCGAGGCCAAGCGCGCCTACCTGGCGGAGCAGGTGGAGAGCCAGGCTCCGCTGGGTCTGCGATCCCTGCGGTTCCGGACTCACCGGGCCCCTGTCTCCCTCTCTGGTCTGCTCCTTGGAGGCGTACTCAAGGAGAGACATCGAGCGCTTGCATGCCGAGCGGTCCCATCTGCGGCAACTCTTCAAGGACTTGAAGGCCGTGCTATCCAATTCTAGTTAAGATGTGAATTCGGAAGCTTTGTGTCATTGTGCAGGCAGAGGGCGAACGGGCCGATGAAGAAGTATGGGAGCTTGGTATGCAAGAGCGGCTTGCTCAGATTGTAAACACCATCTGAATGCAGCTCTGCTCACAGAGACGGAGGAAGAGCCGAGCTGAAGAGATCGGTCGCCTGGTCCGACAGGCCGAGCTTGTTCCCAGGGATCTTAGGCATAGGCGGTCGCTGCCTCCCAGGTCAATGATACGGTCGAGTGCTTGACGCATGCCCTTACCGAGGAGGAGGCATTTTTTTTGCACCAGTCTGCTGGTTTTGGCTGCTCTAGGGGAAAGATCTGTGAGCCAGGCCGATATTTTTGACTTTCGAGTTCGTGCCCGTCTGAGTACGGGTTGCATCACAATCAGTTGCTGTGCCGCTCCGCCGCCCAGGGCTCTTGCTCGTCTCCTCAGGTGTCGACCTGTCTGAGCCAAGTGATGCTCTGGCATCGCTGGCTTTCGACGATCAAAAGAGCTGGGCACAGGCCGGAGCCCGAAAGGGACTTAGGGTGCTTGGCCCCAAGCCGTGCAGTTCTGCACTTTGAAGGCGGCGTCTTCCTCCCATGGCGAGCGGCTTCAACAAGCGGAGTTTGCACTGCACGAGCTCCTCGAGGCCAGGCTTTAAGAGCAGTCAGCATGAGCTTTCGCTCCTCGGCATTTCACTCAGCCCTTGTGAGGAACAGCGTGGGCTGCAGACCTCCTTGGCCGAGAAGGAGTGAAGAGAGGTTGCAGACGCAACGCAGACTCTGTTCACGGAGTGTTCACGTGTTCCCATACGTGCCACACATGTGTCGTCCCTTCTCAAGGAGGGCGAAGCTCGTCACATGAGGGCGCGGCACGAGCAGCTTACGCGCATTTACCAGGAGCTTCACAAGAGCATGCCGTTTGACACGACTTGCGGTCCGTGATTTCCACGGAAGGAGTATCGTGAGTGGAGTGCTTCTCAGATAGACGATGCCCAGAAGACCACGGAAGCGACTGAGGTCGGCATTAGGGTAGTGCTGCTTCAGTGTCCACTATTGTGGTTTCTTTGGCAACCGGACAGGATGCTGTGCACGAGGCGCTGCAATTTCACGAAGCGTGCCTGATTGATGCTTGAACATCCTCTTCGGGCTATCACGATGTCAGATTTCCATCGGAAGTGCAGCTCCTTCGCTGAGAGATGCTGCGGAGGCTCACGTCTGTTAATACAAGGTCGTCTGGGAGGCCTCTGGTCGGGCCATTCATCTCTGCAGAGGTGGACAAGCTAAAGTTGACCCTGGCGTCGGTGCAGACTCAGGGTGCGCACGAGCGCGCGCAGCTGGAGGCCTGGTGCACTCCGTCGAGAGCAAGGGGTTGATGGCACCGCGAGGAGCAAATCCGCCGGGATGAAGAGCGTTTGGAGGAACATCGACAACTCATCATGCCCCAGCCTTAGAAGCACTCGGCTCCTGAAGCCGTGAAGCCAATATTCCTTTGCCGTTTCGCCAAGATGAGTCAACAGGATAAAGCTTAAAGAGATTCGAGATTCGCAACGACATTCGGCAATCTGACAAGTGAAGTAGCCATGGGGCCAGGTGGTCTTTAACCGATTGGTTGCAGTGACTGCTGGGTTGTTCGCCGGGACATCATGCCAAGAATCTGGACTTTGTGGTGCGCTGAGCACCTGTGGAAGTGAATCCCAGCAGCAGGCGAGAGCTTGACAGCTATGCGAAGGCTCGCCGGCACCAACATTTTGTTTTGCAGGTGCAGTTGCACCCGCCCCAGGCTTCGACTGCACTCTGCGAGGATGTGGAAGCCGCCTTGCTGGAGCGGCCGCACTGTGTGACGTGATGTAGACGTGATGTAGGCGTGAAGAGTGTGCCGGGTGAATAGTGGGGATGCCCGCGGTTTCTGATCAAGCCCGGCCTGTCCTGGCCTGCTTAGTCTCGAGGTCTCTCCGTCGCGCGTGCGCGAATGCTCTCGCAGTTTAGACCCTGGCGGCCATGGCAGTACTCATGGAGCTCATGTCGGCTGCTCTCGACGATTCGGCGTCCACAAAAGGGTGGTGCTCAGATCGTCACCTCTGTGATCGACAACAGGTCTTCAATCATGCGCCTCAATCATGCCTCACCGGTGCGTTTACTCCCAATGGTGAATTCCGCGGTTGAGCGTCTTGGCACAGAGTAAGCATCGAGGATTTAGAGCTTTTGCTGACATGGGCTTGGGCTTCCACGGCTTCCACGGCGTAGCGAAACATGGTTCTTGTACCCATACTGCAGACAAGAGGCGCAGTGGTTCAGCATGGTGTGCCATCGGCAGCTTCGGTGGGGGCCTCCTTGGTGGAGATGAGGTAGATATGGCTGTGGAAGTGGATTCGAATGCCACACTGACCCTCGTGACTCAGGATCCACAAGTCACCAAATCCTAAGATGGTGGGTGTTGCGGTAGGCCGAGATTGTGGTTGCACTCTTGAACTGTTAGCGGTGGCTTCGTGTCCACAGGCGTCCACGAAGATCTACCGGACAAACCAGGATCTTCCAGCAACTCAGCGCTTTTCAGTCAGGATCAGGAAGGGTGGGCTTCTCGTGCTCGCTCCTGATCCCTTGGTCCCGTTTGCTAGCTCGAAGCTTGGCTAACAGCTAACATGATTCGCTGCTTTTTTCACGGTACGACCTATACAGGGTTCTTTTTTTTTGCACGGTCTGGATCTGCACCTGTGACAACAGCGCATGTGATCGCAGAGGAGAAGGGTGTTTGGCCAATTGCTCAGAGCACAGTGTTCTAAAGTTGTTTTTCGCTGCAGTGCCACAAGAGCAGCAGATCAATAGTAGTTTCAGAAGATGTAGGGAATTGTGCGAACGATGTGCAGGAAGCGCATGCTTTTCGTTTTAATGCCGGAGGATGGATTGCGTCGAAGGTGCATTCACATCGGCTTGCCAGGTCCCGACCTCTCAGTCACTCTTGCTCACACTCTCGCAGTGACACTCTCGAGCTCTCGCTCGCAAGCACTGGCACTCACCCTCTCTCACCTTCTCACTCCTGCCCGCACTCACCTTCAATCACACGTTTTAGGGTTTAGGGGGTTTCGGGTTCAGGGTGCGGATGCCATCATCCATTGACTCACCCCTGTCGCTCACTCCATCGTTTTATCCACTAGGCTCCGTTCTCGCTCGCACATCTCAAGATATCTTTAATTCGCGCGCGGGCGCACGCTGAGACACACCTATTTGCTATATTCTATGAACTCCCTCATTTAACTTTCGGACTATCAGTGTTATCAGGTTATGTCTCTGCCATGCACTCCTTCGCTCATTCGCTCACTTCACACACTTGTTGACTTGTCCGCCTATCCGCTCGCTCTCCTCACTCCCCTCAGTCGCTCACTTGCTCACTGACGAACTTGGCACAAGCAAGCCACACCCTTCACGTACTCACTCGATCACTACTCAATCACTTGCTTGCTCATGCGTCCGCTCGCTCAGTTCACTGGCCATATCAAAGCATTCATTGCGCACTTTGTCCCACCCTCCCGCGCGCGTGTCTGCAAGCTCGCAGCGCAGCTCCAGACTCTACATTTTCAGCTGTGTTGCTTGCTTATTCCAGCTCGCGGACTTTTCTTTACCGGCTTTGTCAATTCTGCGAACACATTTGGTAACTCGTTCTCACCCATAGGTGCTATAGGTCGTCAATGACTCGCCACACCGTTCGATGGGTCTTTATTGCCCAAGACCCGCTAGAAACTCCCTGTCTCAGTGTTTTTAGTTTTGTTTGTAGTAAATAGTGTTATGAGGCTAGGGAGCAGGCAACCCTTCTATCAAATACCTCATCGCACGGATGTCCCCGCTTTTGGTCGACAATAGCACCTGCAGCTGGAGGCAGTACTCTCAGCAGATGCGCTTCACATTGACACCCGACACAGATGCCAGTGCTGGTGACGGGGCATCTGCTGTCATCGTGGACTGGCTTGGTGCAGGCAGAATAGCTTCCGGAGAGAGGTGGGCTTTTGACGAGTATGCTTCTCGCTTTGAGTTTGTTTGGGAGGAGGACGCCAGCGAGGGCACTTCAGGAGGCAAGGTGAAAAGACCACGCCTGGTAGAGGCAGTGCGTCTTCGAAGAGATGACTGTAATTTCTTGGACCATCCTCTTCAGTCGTTTGATGCTTTTGTCACCATTTTTGCATGCGGGTCGCAAGCCCGAAGAGTGGTACGCAGAACCAAAGCAGTCGCGTTGCTACTCGCCGCTCGAGCAGGCGCACGGGTTAGGTCTGAAGAGGCCAGTCAATTTGGAGGAGACAATTCTAGCGATGTGTCGTTGCCGCAGACGAAAGGTCAAGCGCTCATGGGAGTAACGACCGATGAGAATTCAGGATGTACGGTAATAAGACTTATGGCTGAACACACTGAAGACGTGTATCGGCTTCTACATGTTTGCCTGGAACCCCTTGCGAGCTTGCTGGGTGCTGAACCCTATGCCGATCGCGTACATGGTGCTGGAGTGTTTCAGATCGTACAGACGAAAGCCGGTCCGGCATCATCTGCAGAGCCAGAACATCCCAAGCCAGCGTTCACTCATGAGCTGAACCTGCAGCAGCAGTTTACTTTGTGTCACCTGACTGACGCCACCCTTCCAGTTGGTGGCTTTGCTCACTCTGGCGGTATCGAAGCGGCCGTGCAGCTGGGTCTCCTGAGCCGGCAGGAAGGTGACATCGACGGCCTGAGGCATTTTATCAAGATGCTCGCGCTCTCAACTTTTCGACTGCAAGGCCCTTTTGTGAGAAGTGCCCACAGGCTGGGTGCTAAAGCAGATGGTGTTCCCGAGCTCCGCGGGCTCGACGAGGATTTGCATGCCCATCTTGCAGGCGGCTTGGCCTGTCGGGCCTCGCTGCTGCAAGGTGCCGGTTTGAGTCGCATCGGTCGCCGCTGGTGCAATTTGTCAGGGCTGCCAAGGAACGGTCACTTTGCGAGCTTTTTTGGTCTTCTTTGCGCAAGGCCGCTTCAGACCAACAGCATGCTCTGAAACTGCGAAGCCACGTAGCTAACCCGGGAGACCGAATTTAGGTCAACACAAACGGAATCCAGTTTCATGTGAACGAGCGACCATGCTGAAGCCTGCGCCGAATTGTGAGGCTGGACCTACCGCAAGAAGTAAGCGTGCAGGCTTTCCTTTACTGCAGTGTCCGAGATGCTGTTTCGGCTGCGGTTCGCTTGAACCTGGTCGGACCTCTACAAGCTGTTGAACTGCGACTTGACAGCATGAAGTGCAAAGCAAAGGTAGGCCTAGGGCCTAGGGCCTAGGCCTTGGCCTTGGAGCGGAAGCTTCGCCTTGACATGCGAATACATGCGACATGTCCGAGGCAGCGCTGCATTCTCGCCGATCTGGAGCATTTGCAGGGAGATTGTGTTGGCGATGAGCCCTTCGGGTGCGCTCCGCTCGTAGACTGTGCACATGCTGCTCACGATCTGCTGGAAGCGCGTCTCTTCCTTACCTAGGGCCTGCGCCCGGAAAATATGCTTGCTGGGGCTTTCTGGGTTTTACAGTTGTATGTGGCGCATCAGAGCTGCAGCCTCTCACTTTCCGTTCAAACTACATCTTGCTCCCATACATACATGCAGTGATGCCTCTTTTTCGTTTTGAAATTACTTTCGCTACAGGCTTGGAGGTGCCCGGAACACCACGAAAATAGGTAGAGAAGTTTCAGTGCTTTCTTAGTGAGGAGAGTCCTGCCCGGTACTGCGAGCAGTTCTGCATGTGCTGCGCTTATCCGGCAGAGTCATCATCAAAGCACCGTGCCAAGCAGTTGTGTAGCAAGTTTTTGCGGGGTTCTCGTTTAGTGCTGGGCTAAGGCACCCTGACGAGAGAGGAAAAGAAGACTAACTCGTCAACTGAGGAAGGAATATCAGCCTAAGATAGGAGAAGGGACGGGCAAGGACAATTTGGGAGAAGCGACGAGAACCCAGGAGGCGGGTCAAGGAGCGACTCGGGGTCGAGTAGGGCAGTAGGATTGACAGGGAAGGGGTAGACAAGGAGTGGGGACCGGACAAGAGTGTGTGTGTGTGTGTGTGCACTCTTCTCGCACATGAAGTAAGGGATTCACAATCCTTCTTTGCAGGGGGACGGAGAGGGTGCAGGGGAGCTCCGTCCAACGAA